AGTGGTTTTGCTGTTTTCTTGGGGAGTAATCTTATATCATCGGTTTGCAAGAAACAGAGAACTGTTGCCAGGTCATCCACTGAGGCTGAATACAAAGCTCTTGCAGATGTTTGTGCTGAGGTTCTATGGATTATGTCATTATTGCGTGAGATACAGATTCCGGGTATTTCCATTCCAAAATTATGGTGTGATAATCTAGGAGCTACATATATGAGTGCCAATCCAATCTTTCATGCGCGCACCAAGCATGTGGAGATTGATTATCATTTTGTTCGTGATCGAGTAGCTTCGGGCGATATCCAAGTCAACTTCATATCCACAAAGGATCAACTTGCTGATATCTTCACCAAAGCTCTGCCTGGACCTAAATTTTCTTCCTTAAGGGACAAGCTACAGGTTACTAGTATACACTGTGCTTGAGGGGGAGTATTAGGACTCTATGTATATGAGTCTGTTTAGAACTTCTTATCCTTGTCACACTGTGACTCTCTACTTCTTATCATTGTCACACTGTGACTCTCTATTCTATATATTCACATCATCTGATCTCATTGTAATTAAGTTCAGAAAATATAATACAATCAGTTCTCATCAATGGCCTAAATGCCTAATGACTATTTATTCGTGCAATTTTCTCTTTCACTTTCAAATCACTTTAAAAAATTACAATTAATGCTTTTATCAATATATATTTACTTCAAATTATTTTGTAAAAATATATTTCATATTTATCATAAATAAAAATTTAAAAATATAGAAGGAAATGAAAGAGAGCAAATAGGGTTCGAGTATGGGTCTGAATCGCGCGAGTAAAAATGAGTGAAAACATGCTTAAATAGTGAACATTAGGCACCCACACGGGCAAGGACATGAGCATGTACCCACCGATGTGCAAAACAAAAATAAAATTAAACCACTTTGGAGAGTAATGGTGCATGGTCTCCTTTACGCCTGTGAGGGCACTCAGCTCGTGAGGTACTCCATCATCTCCTTGTGCAATTTTCTGACAGAATGACTTCCTTGCTGTTTTTGACCACTTTAACTTCAAAATGAAGCTTGGTGGTCTTCATGAAAGTTGTAGCCCTTTGAGTTTTTTTTCCAATGGTGAATGAATAACTTGATTTGGACATTCATATCCTAAGATATGGTAGAAATACTAAGACATTGACATGTTGTGCGAGAATTGCAATGTTTTGATCTTTTGCTCCACTTTTGCCTTGCTTTGCCCAAATGACCAAAACCACTGGAAACACCATTCATTGGCTCTATTGGAAGTATTTTATCCATCTTCTTAGCTTCTCTTTGACTCCCATTGACCCCAAATGCATTCAAAATGCTCCATTTGACTCCAATACTCTCCAAAATGCATGAAAATACTCAATTTTATTTTTTATTTTATTATTATTATTATTATTATTATTATTATTATTATTATTATTATTATTATTATTATTTTGGTTCAAGTGAGATATATTGTACCTAAATTCACAAACAAAGAAAATAATAGCTCTTTTAACATGATATCTACATTTTGGAGCTTTAAAATAAGATTAAATATGGGACAAAATGGAAGTAAATATGAACTAAATATGTACTTATCACTTAACTTGCTCAAGCATATGGCTTTACTAGATTATGGGTTTATGCCTACAAAATTATGATTTTCTAATTAATCGTGTGCCTTCTAAAACCTCAAACAATTTAAGTCCCTATAAAATCATCAACACAACAATAAACACAAAATAGAGTATCATTCTACCTCGTTTGTCTTCCTTGGGTACCCATACTCATTTAGAAGATATCCTTTCTTGAATCTAAATTCTAGAAAAAATATTATTATTCTCCATGTCTGTTTTGATGAGAATGTTTTCCCCAGCTAAAACTCCTCCACAGTTTTTTACTTCGACTCCATATGCGATATCATAGGGGGTTGTCAATGCATCAAGAAGAAGAGGATGCCAAGAGATCGACACGACCATGTCGTCCCCATGTCACGGCCGTGTTACCATTCCAGAGAGAGACACGGCTGTGACATGCCCATGACACGATTGTGTCGACGTGAACCCCCTCCTCCGACGGATTTCACTCCCAACCCTCCTCTAATTGTTCCTTCTAGGCCTGGACAACGTCGACCACCACCCCCGACTCAACGTACATATCCTACGGTTCTATGACACATGACTCATGACTCAACATGTAACAAAGCTCTAATTGCATGTGTAGATGACTTCGAACCCACTTGCCACTCCTAACATGTAAAGAGCATCGAACGACGAGTATCAATGGATGAAAAATTCAATGATCTCCTATACAATAACACTTGGAAGTTGGTTCCACATGAACGAGATATAAACATCATTGGATGCAAATGATACAAGATATTTTGATGGTACAATTGAAAGATACAAAGCCAAACTTGTTACAAAAGGATTCAATCAGGTTGAAGTAGAAGATATTTTGACAATTTCAGTCCGGTCATCAAACCAACTACAGTAAGATTTCTATTATTTCTCATTATAACAAAAGATTGGTTTATCAGACAAGTTGATGTTCGCAATGCCTTCCTCAATTGTTGTCTAAGTGAGAATGTTTACATAAAGCAACCACTAGGGTATATTGACAACAAGTTTCCTACTCATGTCTACAAACTACAAAAGTCTCTATATGGTTTGAAGCAAGCACCATGTACATGGTTCAAGCTCCTTCAAGATTGTCTACTCTCCATTGATTTCAAGACTTCAAAAATTGATGTGCATATACAGATTATAGTATACAAATACTACGTAAATAACTTTGTGTATTAAATTTTATAGTCCATATTATTTAACGATATTTATTTGTTTAAAGTGCACTATTACTCATTATATTATTATAAAATATTCAATTTAGTATATGTACTGTAAAATTGGTCAATTTAATTCTTATATTATTAAAAATAAAACACTAAAGTAAAATTATTAACATCATTAGTTAAACTATTAAATATGTTGATGTGGCTAGATTCAATGGAAAGAATATGACTCTCAAATCACTAATTAATAATATTTTAATATAAAAATATTTAAATGTTGTCATTAACAAGAATTTCATAACATTAGAATACTTAGTAAGAACCCATAACCTAATAAATGAAGCGCTCATGGCCTAATGGATAAGGAATCAAGCGATTGTGGGTTCGAGTCCCACTGGGCGTGTTTAATCAAAATTGTTTGTAGTATATAATATTATTTGCTAACTAACAACGTAGCATCTGAGCTTGAACCCAGGCCAGAATTAATTAATATTATTTGTATTTTTACATTTTAGGTAGTAAGTGGTTTAATTTTTGTATAATTAATAAAATTATTTTTGTGATGTTTCATTTCTTATATTAATATTTTAATAAATTACTATATTAACAAATTCTCCTCTTTAAAAACAATTTTGCTTCGAGAGTTCCATGAGACCAAGATGGCACGGCATTCTGGTGCGAAACGGACGTTGGTGCAGTTGTCTGCGTTATTCTTTTGGCAACACATGCGATGAGCCGTTGAAAATTTTGTTGCCTCTTGTTCTCCACATCTCAACAAACCAAATTTTTGACTAGCACTCCCGCATGGTCTACAGCCGCTTCCGATTCCTAATTCTGTCTAGGGTAAGCTAACCATGGATTTTATTGTTGGACTCCCACCCTCGCAAGGTTATACTATTATTATGGTGGTGGTTGACCGGCTAATAAAATATGCGCATTTTGGGGTTCTACCATCCCATCTTACTGCCAGGAAAGCTGCACAATTGTTTGTTGATATCGTTGTCAAACACCATGGCTTCTTGACCTCAATCATCTCAGAACGAGACCCGATTTTCACAAGTGCATTTTGGAAGGCTCTGTTTGAGTTTAGTGGCACTGGTCTCCAGCATAGTATTCCATATCATCCTCAAACAGAGGTAGTGAATAAGGGCATCAAACAATATCTCCGTGCTTTTGTGAAATCGTTGATGCGTTGGGCCGAGTTCTGTTACAATACCAGCTACAACCAAAGCCTTAAAATGTGTCATTTTAAAGCCTTATATGGTATATTGCCACCAGTTATTTCACATTATGTTCCTAATTCTACTAATATATGTGCTCTAGATGACTTTTTGATGGATCGTAATATATATGCTCCTATCACAGCTTAAGGAAAATTTATCTGTCGCTCAACATCGAATGGTGCAAATGGCTAATCATAAACGTCGTGAAGTTGAATACGAAGTTGGAGCTAAGGTCTGGGTGAAAATCCATCCTTTTCGTCAGGTTTCGGTGGTGAGACGTCCATTCCGTAAATTGAGTACACGTTACTTTGGACCTTTTGAAATTGTGGAACGTGTTGGCCCTGTGGCATATCGTCTGCAACTTCTTCCAATCTCAAAAATTCACCCTATTTTTCATGTCGTCAGCACCAATGACCATTCTTGCCATTCGTTCTATTTTGCATGAAGGGTTGTTAGAGCGTCACGCTCTTGTTCATTAGGTTGATTTATCATCTGAGGAAGCTATCTGGTTCCTGTGGATACACTTGCTAAATTTTTTTCCAGGCCTTCACCTTGAGGACAAGGTGACTTCTGAGACTAGGGGTATTGATACGACATTACCACTGTTAGGCCACACTGAAAAAGAACTCGCAAATTACTAAATCGCTTCACAGATTATAGGATGAACTGAGCACCACTAGTGATTATGGATTCCAGAAATAAGCTTAGTTTGTGATTTTCTTTCCATTTAAAGCTTTGTAATATTCAGTACTGAAGGGACAAATTACACTACTCTCAACAAACCACTTTCATCATTACTAAAATTCATCCAACAACAAAAGTACCAAAATACAATTTTTGCCATTTTAGAAAATCGAAAAATAAATCAGGTAAAATAGATCAGATCAGGTTACTTACTCCAGGTCCCATTTGGCAAAACATCTGATACTTCCAAGTTGCTTACTATAGGCAAAAAAAAAAAAAAAAAAAAGTTGTATTGTACAATCTATATATAGCCTCTACCATACGCATAAAAAAAGTATATTATACAAATTTAATAATCCGGAGTAATCTTAGCCAAACACACCATAGGGGCATGCTTGGTGGTTCCAATTCACAATTCACAAATCACAATCAACAATAAATCCAAATATACACCAATAGCCATTGACAATTTGAAACCTAATTTTGCCAATTCATTCAGCAAATCACCAGGTTCATGATGCTCAAGTAATATTGAACTTCACCAAATGGCATTCGGCCCCGCACAACTTCCAATCTGCTCGAATGGATGATGGCACGACACGAAAAAACTTGAACAGATTAAGCTCACACAGGGCTTGCTTCCAATCACTTATTCCCGTTACCATTTTCGTTTTTCATAACCTCCACAAGGTTTCGGCCATGTCTACTCAAAAAGGTATTATATTGTACCAATTTATTCGTTTTTGTACTAGCACACTGGATGTGAAAACACGAAACCACTCTCCTTCTTCAAGTTACTTGAGCAGCAATGGCCTGCAAATATTTTATCTCCTAAATCTAACGACAACGCAAGATATATCGTCTTTACTGTCTCGCTTCAGTGCTTCGGCTGTGAGTTGCTTAGCGGCTTTCTGGGGGTCTTTAACTCTTCGAGCAATGTCTACTGCTTCTTGATTATCCATTACCTGGATTGATGATATGTCAGATGACGGGGATATGCAATTACGAGATGAAAATTTGAGGAATACGTTTATCACCTTCCAGAGGCCATCACTTGCGAGGACAAGGAGGTCATAGCTTCCATCGACATGTCTATCTTGAATATCTGGGTCGGATCGCAAATGCGATTTAAGACTTTTATCTCCAAACGCACGAGAAACAGCAAGTTGCCCATTCACTCTCGCAACATCCCCTATTAGAGAAGAGAAGCAGATTGGGTAATAAAATACCTCTCAACTTGTACTCAAGAGATGGAACATTTTTCTAGTCCAAACAGTTCAGGTTCATGCTAAGGAACAAACTCAAAATTTTGAGGAGAAAGAACTAACAGAAATTAGGTTATGTTCCAGGGATAAGTACAGATACATGTCAGGGCCGGATGGATACAACCCGCAACTTTTAATATAGAAATGCTAAATGTAACACACACACACACACACAAAAAGAGGGTAAAAGACATTTGTTTCAATATATTTGTTTTATGTTTTCCACATTTTACATCCCCAAACAAACTACAGACGGGGAATAAGTTTCACATAACTGATCTGGAAACTAATTATTAAGTCATATTTATCCAAGACATATTAGATTTTGTATATATATGACCAGTGTTGCAAAAATTCCTCCTAGGCACCGATTAATCGGCGCCTAGACGCTAGGTGCTGACTGACCGCTTAGCGTATCACCATAATTGATGGTCTAGGCGGCTGGCTGGCTAGGTGGCCGAATAGGCCGCCTAGGTGCTGACTAGACCGCCTAGGCGCTGACTAGGCCGCCTATTGCCTAGGCACCGACTAGATCGCCTAGTCGGCCAATTAGCTATTGTTCCCTTCTTTTTTAAATGGGTTATTTCACTCAAAACGACATTGTTTGGAGCGAAATAACCCTAAATTGTACAAACTCTAAATGTTTTTTAGGTTAATATTTAATATTTTAGTATTAACTATTAAAGTATTAAACACTTTATAATTATCAAGTCAAATTTTTAAAAAATAAAAAATAAAATAAAAAATACACGGGCGCCTAGGCGCCGATTAATCGCGGCCTAGGCGCCCCCTATGCTCCCGAGGAGCGCCTAGCGATTTTTTCAACCATGTATATGACAAATTGCTACGATTTCAGGAGAAAACCTGGCATATTTGAGACAAATCCTCCTTTCCTTTCAATGCTGCCTCGTTCAGTATTTGGTTCATGGTCAGTTGTCATCTGAAGGGCCTGACCTGTCTGAGAAAGAACGGCTCGTGAATCTCCCACATTAGCCACCCACAACCGTTGCCCATTTATCAACACTGCCGTAACAGCTGTTGACCCCCCTCGCCCCAAATTGGAACTGTTTGAAAGTATTGCTTCGTCAGTTTTCTCATAGGCCTTCGCGATTGCTCTGCCTGGATCCACCCAAAACTCATCCTGCTAATTTATGAACTCACAGATATGAGAATATGTGATAGTAACCTTCAAAATCCTAGCGTGCGACAAAATGTACATATGCAAGCTACATTATTATAATCATAATAACAAGAGAACAAACCGACCTCCTTTAAGATGTTATCCAACAAATGTTTTTGCAGAAAGGAAGGCACCCCGTTCCCCAAATGACCATCATAAATAGCAAACAATCCAAGCTCGTGTTCATCTATCTGCACAAACTTAGCAACATGGTAGTCTTCCATGGGATGAAGAGCTTTCCCTTTCACTAAGCTGAAGCCATATCTAATGTGGCCGTCATGGTTTCTACCCTTGCCAGAGCTATAAGAAGACTGTATTCCTATACACTGAATAGAATAGGAGAAGGGAAAGAAAAACAGAGAGAGGGTTTAAGACAGAAACAAATAAAGAACTTCGCAAAAAGGTGCATAATGGGACGAACCACTTCAGAGGAAAAAAAAGAAGTCTTTAATGCAGAAAAAGTGTAAAGTTTTCTTTACAGAAAGGTGCATAATAGGATGAATTGGGTAAATACAAGCCATTTCAGGAGGTTTAAAATGTCTACTGCCTTTCAAAGTTTCTTTATGTAAAACTTATAAGCCTTATCTTCATCATGCTTTCAGCTAAAGGGCATCACATTACACAAAATTATCATTATTATTATTGGTAATCATGGAGTTTGCATATCCCTTTTTTTTAAAAAAAATAAATTTTGTGGGTGTAAATTGAAATAATCAGTTATCATCTCAAAAGACGTTCTTGAATTTTCGTATATCCTTGCCCGGACATCTTAAGGGCAAAAAAGTAGAAATTTTTAAACTAGCATTAATATGCATTCCTGGAGCACTACAGCATAACAGCTACAATATAAGTTTTAATGATTCAATTTCTAAAACGCTATATCGAGCATTTAGACAAGGCATTGAGCATTTCTGACAAGAACCCTTTATTGAAATCAACCAGTTGATGCCCCAAAGTCCCACAAAAACCTCAAGAACTCTAAGAATTACTCAACCCTCTAGAATCCATTACATTAGCATACAAATAGGCCACAAACACAAGATTAACAGAATAAGCACATAGGAACCACCCTTCATCAAATTCTAAGATCAGTGGGCAAACAAAGATACTGAAACACAAGAAGTATCAGAAATAAAGTAGTAAAGGAAGTCTACCTCAGTGCAGGAAGCACTTAAACAGCTTAGTTTACTCATCACAGCAACCTGGCAGCCAGTTAAAATTTGACTCTTTAATAACCTAATTCTCAAAATTACTAAAATCAAATGATCAAGCTTCCAAATGAATAATCCTTAAAAATTCAAGAATAATACCATAAAAGGCCACAACCAAGCAAATAACAAGAGGTCCTTAATCAAAGCAAAACCCTTTAAGGCTTTAACCCAGAAAAACAAAGAACAGCAGAATTCATGCAAAACAAAATCAGAAATTGAGCAATCAAGAATTCATTTCATTTACCAATTTCAGAGACTAGAGAAAATCAAGAAATGGGTATCGCTATTTTGCTTCTATAAATTGGGGAAATTACAAAGTCTTTTCCCCGTTCTTCTCCTCATGAGTTTGTAAACCCATTTTGGAATTCAAAACAGTGAACCATAAAGAAAAAAGAAAAAAAAAACCCACAAAAAAAGATAGTGGATTATATATTATAAAATTATTACTAGTAATTATTATTGTTGATTAAGGAAGGTTTGGGCAGATAAAAAGGGAAAAGGTTTGCGGTTCCTCTGATTTTCATAACCGTCCTGTTGGGGTTGGAACTTGGAAGTGTGAGCAAGGGGCAAAATGGGAAGATAGGGAACCTTGTTGACTTCTCCGTTTGAAAATGTCATTGTTTGTCGCTGCCACTACAGCTCTGTAACCCCACAACACTTTTGACTTGTACTCCAACCATTCCTTCATCAACCCAATAAGGAAGTAGAAAGTTGGGATCTTGTGAAACATTTTTTTTTTTCACCGCGACACAACATGGAAAATGAGATTCCAACAAAAGGTTATTTTCTACCGAGTACTCAGCAAATTATACACTTGTGTAGCAATCATTATTGTGTGGTCCATTCATATTTTATACGTTATAAAATAATGGCCTGGTAAAATGGCTGTTAATTGTTAGCCGTTAGCTGATTGTGTTAATTAGAGAGTATAAATAGTTAATAACATTAGCTTATTGTAGAAAAGTGTTTGGTAAATTAGTTGTTAGCTGATAGCTGTTTGGTATAATTTCTTTTCTTAAAAAGCTAATTGAAAAAGTAGTTTGAAGTAGCTTTTTGAATTTTAACCTTTTGGAGTTGCAAAAAGCTAATTAACCAAACATTTATATTGATATTTTAACTAAATCAAACAATTAATAATAGTCAAATAAGCCAAAATTGACCTATAGGCCAATTTTTACCAAACGGGACCAATATATATTTAATACAAAAATAATGTACTTTTAGTATATTAATAATATACATTATATTCAGAAAAAAGTAAATTATTTAAGTACTGAAAGTACACTATTTTATATAATGTACATTCAATACACAAATAATGTACATTCAGTATATTAAAAATGTACTTTTTTGTTACGGTTCACACAGCACTGTGTGGACTATGGTCCCGACAATAATTTGTCGTTATGTAGACCACGGTAGAAAAGAATATTGAATTTTATAAGTTATAATAATATACTTTACGTGTTAAAATAATATACTATATATGTTAAAATAATGTACATTAAAATGTGCATTATGTGTTAAAATAATATACTATATATGTTAAAATAATGTACATTATGTGTTAGAATAATGAACCTTCTAGGATAAGATAATGAACTTTATGAATTAGTATAATGTATATTATGCTTTAGAATAATGTACATTATAAGTTATAAAAATATATGTTGCAGTGAGTCGCATAAAAAAAATGCGCGAAACAACGTTGTTTTTGTAACACAACCGACGCAATAACTATTGCGAGTCCTCAGTTGCTTAAATGATCCAATTATTCTTATGTTAATATCACGGTGCGGTCTAACGTATCTAGTTTCATTAGACAACGCAATCTCAAAGACGGAGTCAAAAAAAATCATGTCAGGAGGGTTAAAATTGTTACAAAAATTTAACATTGTATCATATACTATCGATATTCATTTTTAATTATACATTGTATTTTTCTTTGAGTACCAAAATTATACTTTGTATAATTAATAATTATGTATGAACTACATAATTGTATGAGTACAATTGACATCAATTCTAATCGATACTTTATATAATTTAACATAAAAAAAAATGTATACAGTAATAAATGTATTTTTATTTTAATATTGCTTATCATTTTTTATCAAATAAAAATTGTCAATTATTTTGTTGACAACATTATTTAGATAATTAAATGATATTTATTTTACTGATTGCCATAATATTTTAAATTTTGATGAATGAAGACAAAACCCAGAACCAATATTAACATTAATTTTTCCAATTTCAAAACTAAAAACATATAATAAATCACTAATTAATTAATCAACTAGTAAAACTAAATCATATATCCTAGAGATTTTTTAAGTTAAATTGGATACTGATGTCTTTTGGCATTATAATATTGAGAAAAGAAATAGGCTAATAAAGAAAGAATGAAGGATTTGATTACGTGATTTATATCTGTTTATTTGGTGAATTTTTGTTATTATTTAATATACATAGTAGATTCAACATGTTCAATGAAATGTGAACATGTTCGATGAAATATCTCATAGGAAATGTTGACACTCGAGTGCTACATTGCCGTACGATAGGCCTTAGAAACCGAAATGGCTAAAGCATTGGAAGTCATCGCACATAGACCTCAATTCATCACATAGTTTCATCTCTTGCCAAAGTCTCTACATTGCAATCCAAGGAAATCTAATTCACCTCTATGAGCATATAGCCATTAATGTGCAATCCACTATCAGCTTAGGCTTTTAGTTGAGATGGAGCACATGCTTCAATTACCTCATACTCCATTGTTATTTTCCTTTACTTGCTTGCCTTTATTTTACATTGCTCTCTACTTGCACTTTGAATACAATGAAGTGCCTTGCTTGCCTTGCTTTAATACGTTTAACAGATAGATCAAATACACACCAACCAGTAGTGATAAATTATATTCTATCAAACAAGATGAAGATGCATATATGAACCTGAGTTTATAAGATGAATCCTCCATATTCACACTTAAAAGGCCCTAATAAAATATGATACAACAGGAAAGTGAGAATCCTGATAAGCTACTATCACCTCATATATGCAATTGTCAAGACTTTTGGTCAGCTTAGACTAGTAACACAACACTGATGTTCATTCCATCCTTTGTACATTCACATAAGTTCATATCTTGATTCTCTTTCCCGGCTATTAATCTCATGTCCTGTGAACAATGCCCGAAAGTTATAGATTAGGGGCATCCAAAACTCTAAGACGGATATAATAAACCATATATTTCAATATAGCATGCCTGCATTTCACATAGCTACAATTCATAAAAAAGGATATGGAATTTTTGCAGTTTCTTCTAACCTGTTAGAGATCTAGTGGTCCGGTGGGTGGCACAGAATCCTCAATTGCTAGAGGGAATTCAATGTCATAGAACCCTGATTTTATACACCATTCCTGCATTTATTTGCACGTCTTTAACTGTTTATTTGAATATGGAGGAATAGTAAGAGGGGAATGTTGCTGATAAGCTAGCTATATATGTTGCGGGACTAATCAACCGTTAAACAATCACTAACGAGAAAAATTCTTAATGCCTATGAATGTTTATTACCATCAGTGTTGTAAAAATCAGCCTAGGCGGCGGTATCCCTAGGCCGAGGCAAAAAGGAGTGTAGGCGGTTGTTAGTCATTTTGATTGGTTTTTCCGCTCAAAACGACCTCATTTTGAGCGGATTTAAAAAAAAAAAAAAAAAAAAAAAAAAAAAGAATTTAGGCGGCCGCCTAAGCAGCGCCCGACTAGCACCTAGCGCCTTCTGCAACATTGATTGCCATTATTCCATTCTTTCCAACTTAATAGTTATACTAGGTACTCTTCATTCATTAATGGCAAGACCATATTACCCGGGGTCTAAGAAAGCCGTTGCCAGTTCATTAGCTGATTTGGTTGTGGATGCCTTTGCAAATAAGATGAACCGGTCCCAATGGCGTTGTCATCACCGGCAAATTGATCCGAGTAACTAGTACTGGACGGGGACCATACAGGAACTGCACCCCTACTGCTACTTGCAGATTCAGCTGTTGAATCTTCAGAATTCCTCCTACCTACACCAAAAGGAGATTGCAGCGGGGCATTGTTGTTACTTTGAATTGTTCGAAAAACTGCTTGCCCAGTTCTGTTTCCCCTCGGTTCTTCAGTTACATTGACATTTTCTGGCACTTCTGCTCTACTATCTTCACCCACATTTCCGAGATCCAATGATGTCTCTTCATCTTCACCCCTAAAGAATGATGAAGTTATGCTAGGGACCATCTGATCCTCGTAATGCCTCGTTGCAGTAGCTGAAGGATTATTTCTGATCGGTTCATCGTCCATTTCCATTCGTGCATCTCGGGGAAATGCTAGCGGTGCAGACTCGGTGGAGTCCCCGTGCCCTTCTTCCATACCGTTCTCAATTGCAGCTCTCGAGGCGGCTTCACGCTGTGCCATATGAACAAGGGCTGCTTGCAATCTTACCTTTGCTGCATCGATTTCAACAACCGGAAGAGGATAGTTGGAACCTAGTTCAATTCCAGCTGCTTGGAGAACCGACTCGGGTGCATTCCAAGGATGGTGTATCCATTCGGTAGGAAGTCGAGCAAGCTCGGGAAGCCAACGGCGTACATACTCCCCATTCGGGTCAAATTTGTAGCCCTCAAACTGTAAAAACCAGTAAACATTTGTTTAGCATGTTTCCTATGAATTCTCCCAATAGTAAAGGGAAAGAAGCCAGAAAAAAATGTTGCAGAACTATAAACATCAACTTTGGTAAAATAAAAATATTGGGTTTATCCAAGAGGTGGGAGGAAAGCAACTATTATTATTTCCACCGAGACTATTAGCTGTTTGGTAAAATAGTTAGCCTATCAGCCAAAATTGGCTTATTTGACCACTATTAGCTGTTTGACTTGGTTAAAAAATGAATGTAAGTGTTTGGTTAATCAGCTTTTTGTAACTCCAAAATGCTAAAATTCAAAAAGCTACTCAAAGCAACTTTTTTAATTAGCTTTTTGAGAAAAGAAATTATACCAAACAACTATCAGCTAACAGCTAATTTACCAAACACTTTCTACAATCAGCTAATGTTATCAACTAGTTATACCCTCTAACCCAATTAGCTAACAGCCATTTACCAAACAGGGCCAAAATTGCCAATTTATGCATACACTTAAGATGAAATCTGAGATAGCTTCTTACCTGTGGATTATCAATTCGATCAAATTCACGGGCATCTGGTAGGGTACCAGTGATGTATTGCCAACCAAGAGCATCGCTCTCGAGATCTGCATCTAACAGAGTATCCCAAAAGTACTTCATTCCCCATCTCCAAGAAAGCTGAAGAACCTTAACGAAGAAACTCGACACTACAACTCGTATCCGGTCATGTAACCATCCAGTAGCCCAGAGTTCTCTCATGCCCGCATCCACCAAAGGATAACCCGTTCTGCCTTGCCTCCACGCCTTAAAATAGCCCTCATCTACTACCCAAGGAAAGTGCTTTAGATGACCAAGAAGGGGCCTTTCATGGCTGTAAGGATGATTGAAACTCATATATCTTGAATACTCTCGAAGCCCGATAGACTTGAGGAACACATTGCAACTATCTTCACCGGCTTTGTTCCCTTCATTGGCCCAAACAACTTGCTTAATGCGAACGAGATGGAATACCTTTCGAACACTGACTTCCCCGAAATGTAAATGCGGGGATAGAAATGATGTTGTAGCACTATCAGCCTTCCTACGGTTCGTGGCATACTCTATTAATGGTCCGTTTATGAAAGCACTCAATGCCTTATCAGCATTGCTCCACCCGGGTGACCATGCTCGAGCAAGAAGTGCATTGCTTCCTTTCTCCGATTCATCTTCAAATACCAAGTTGTCAAGATGACATCTCGACACATCAGCTGCAAGAGCAAGAACAACGTTAAACTTACTTTCCTCTAACACAATTCGGGTTGATTTTGCTGAAGAGTTTTTAACAGTAGTATTTAAAGCGAGAAACAGGAAACACACCTGAAATTATCCGTTTAGGTGGGAGAAGTGGAGCCTCGGGATCATAAGGCATGCTGAGACATTTATCCCAAAATGCTTTGAAGGTAGTGAATGGGCGACCTTCATCATCAAGAACTTCCCAAGGTTCGTAGAGTAAGTCAGAGTTGAAGGAGCGCACGGATACACCTTGAGCAGTTAAAATTTCCTTTACGCGATGATCTCTTACAAGTGATAGAGGATCTAGAAGTAAAAGAATAATAATGGTAGTTAATTAGAACCTCTCAATGAGTGAACATCATTATCCTACTGTCTATATAAATTAATCTGCAAACATCAAAAGAAATCCCAGAAGGCAAAATGTTCTGTCTCTTTTATACATCACAAAAGAGTAGAGGATACTACTTATTCCTATATTTTCATATTGAAGATGATTACATGTCAGAACTAATAAAACATTGACACTGTTGGGCGGAGGCCAGTAAAGGCCAAATCTAGCACCCGGTGGCTAGGGATTGTTGGGCAGAGGCCGGTAAAGGGCTTAAAGGGGCAAGTCCAGCACCCAGTATCTCGAAAATGTGTGCTGTATAAGGAAATAAAGTTGCGCCTTCGCTACTTGCTATAACTTTTAGCGTAGTGGTAACTGGTAAGCGCTTGATCTCAAAAGACACTTTACTTTACAAGGTAGTAAGTAAAAAAGTGGAATACAATATCAATAAATTAACCAATAGAAGGAGGCAGCTAGCTTTTATGGAATAAACTAAACATCACTAACTAGAGAAACCAATTAATAAAACAAACAACCATATTGGAGCTAAACAAATGAATATAAAACAGAAAGAGAACCAAGGATGATCAATATCAACTGACCATACAAGTGATTGAAGAAGAGGTGAGTGGCACCAGTAGACTTGATAACTTCAAGAAGAGAAGAAATAGTATCAGTGGATCTCTTTGTGACAAGGGAAGTGCCAAGGCTCCTCAAGAAAGAATCAAGGTGACCCAAGCTTTGTTTTAGCCACCATCTTGAAACCCTCCCAGGGTAATAGTGCCCTTCTTCCTCAGGAGCCCATATGTACAGTGCCACCACTGCCCCTGCCCTCACACCAGCAGCCAAAGCTGGGTTATCTTCCACTCTCAAATCCCTCCTAAACCATACAATACTACAACCCCCACCAGACATTTCCCCTCCTTAGATTGCAACAACCTAAATCCCAGTACCCCTCCCTCAGCCCCTCCTATCCACACACCATTATAATATGTATTTCTTCAAGTTTAGCAGCAAGAAATAGTAAAATTTGTAGAGACCCAAAGCTTTAACTACTCAATTTGTAAGCAAGAAATAGTATAATCTTTGGCATAAATTTGTAAAGAACCAAGCTTTAATAAGTCAATATCGTGTGTGCGGGCAAAAATAAAAGAATGAATCCAATTCTACCAATTCCGGGTGAATCTGGGTGGGTTTTTCCTGAAATTACCATTTGCACAATTGACAACCAAAAAGACACAGGCTGGGCGGGAGGGTGAAGGTGATTGGTGAAGGTAGTGGGGTTGAGAGAAAACTGATAAGCAAATTACAGCCACAACTTTTCTTTTTCTAGATTTTTGTTTTTGTATCTGTTTCTTATCCTATGATGAAAAAAAAAAACAAATCTCACAAAGTTCTCTAGTGCCTTCTGTAATCCATTTGCGCTTGAATTGGAATGGAAAATATTTGAAGCTTCAAATTTGTCTTTTACTTCAGCATGTATATACATGCATACACATACGCAGACCTTGAATTTTATGAATTATTACAAGGTGATAGTGATTTGGTAGCTGATAGCTTTATCATGCAATACCGTATAACAGGTCCACAATCCTGAGCCTATACGACATCATTTTGAATTTTAATTTTAACGACAATCATTTGTTGTTCAGTTTGCGTTATAATTTTTTTTTTAATATTGTAAAATATGTGTATGTATATCGTGTTATGTGTTTCTGCACATCATGTTATGCAATTTTGTACCTTAAGCGTAAGGATTCTGTACCTGAAATTGTTTAGTAATTGTATAACAAAAAACATATTGTGTATCTTATTTAACGAATTTACGTCTTGTATTATGAAATTATGTGCCTATAGGACATAAATTATTTATAAAAATCAGATATGAGAATAAATAAAATAGAAAACATGTGTATGTATCTCGTAGTAAAATAGAAAATATGTGTATTTATCTCATGTTATGCGTTTCTGTACATCATGTTATGCAATTCTGTACATTAAGCGTAAGGATTCTGTACCTAAAATAAATTAAAATTTGTGTTGAAACATGAGAAACAGAAAGTTACAGAATCTGTTAAAGCTTAAACATCAAACAACGTCGTTTTGATCCAGAGTTCACAATACTATGTTGATCCTGGTCCACGATATAAATTGCCTCATACAATGGGATAGAGGTATCCGCGGGCTTGGGCTGGGCCCACCACTAGCTCGTTTAGTTTTTGGACCAGGTCGGCCCAGTTCAAATAAAGTTTGGACCGGGCTTGGCCCGGTCCAAAAATAAAAATTAAAGTCAATTTCGGCCCGCGGGCGTGGCTCGCGGGACAGCTACGGCTGTCTATGATGGGCAGCCACCGGCGCCGGACAGTCGGTGGCTGATATTATCTTTTTTTTTTAATTATTTTATTTTATTTATTTTTTGTAATAATTAATAAATAGGTAACCTGTAAAAAAAAATTAATTGAACAAATGTAGCTGGTAGATGGGTCTATTTGACACTTAATTTAGTTCGTGGTAGGAATTGAGCATTTCGCAGTAGTAGATGGGCGCTTATTTGACACTTGTACATAGAAAAAAAGATTAAAAATTATATATCGAATAATTTGAGTTATGTATTTCTTCTAAATTAGTTAAGTTGACATATTTATTTTCAACTATTTAACTTATGAAATATTACAAGAAAATAAAGAAATCAATAATAAATAATGCAAGACCATTATAAGAATAGATTTACAAATTGCAACTACTAAATACTAACTTACTAGTTTGTGCTCATATGGCATGTAGTGACCTCTCTCATGTGGGAGCTCACGAGTTCGAGCCTCAAGTGGAGGCGTTGTTGACTCTGTGTGACTCTGTGTGCTTCATTAGATTGAGAAAGTATGTTGTTCACCTTCATTAGATACTCAGGGCCGGTCCAATCATTTTCTAGGCCCGGGGCAGGACAAAAAAATGGGCCCCGGTTAATATATATTTCATGCCTAAGATTTAATTTAAATAAGAAAAAAATTACTAATATCAATAACTTTAAATAAGATTAACAAGTTTTTAACAATTTTACAGCGACAATAATAATCATGAAAAAAAATCTAGGTGCTTTCCTTAATGTAAAATAATAAATAATCGTATAAGTGCCTTCATAAATAAATAATTATTATAGTTTATAAAAATGAATAAATAATTTAAAATCGAGTCAACTTATAAACAATAACATTGTTATCATAATAAATAATAAATTAATTATTATTAAAAATTTATAAAACAATAATTACAAACATATGTGAAGCTAAAAATATTTTTTTGACTAGGAGAAAGAAATTAAAATATTTCCAAACGCAATAAAAAAATTCAAAAAGATATGAAACATAATTATCTAGATAAAATAGTTTGAATATAAAGCATATTATAAATCACACATCTTCTATATTTATATGATTTTTATAAATACTTTTTCTTTTAACTAGATAAATTTCAAACTTTTTTACAATAATTTGAATACAATGACACATGATAGAAACTTCTATATTACATTGATTAGATATTCATAAAAATGTACGGAGTAAATTATATTTTAATTTTTTTCATAATTCAATCTAAAAATATATCATATAACCCCCTTCGTCCTATTTTTATGTGTCTTGTTTGGTTAACATGAGTTGATTGAAGTTTTTTTAATTCAATTTTTCATAATATGTTTAGTATAAGTATATAAAAATTTATAAATTTAGAAACTGCATTAAAATTTTAATATAAAAATTTATATATTTAATATAATTTTTTTTCATATTATGTTTAGTATAAATTTATGAAAATTTATATATTTAAAAACTACATTAAAAATACTACTCCGTATTAAACACAAAAAATTATTAAAAATAATTTTTTAAAAGATACATTATAATATAAGCAAAGAAGTAAAGTTGAGGAATTCTAAAATGTAAAGGGAAGGATTGGATCACCGGCCTTTGATTGAAGGAGGTTAAAATTTAAATATCTTACCAGCTAAGCTAATTCACCTTAGTATAAAATATATGTATATAAATTACTTATACTCAATACATATATACTATGTATAAGAGATAAGATGGGGCCCTCCCCAACCCATGGGCCCTGGGCAAGGGCCCAGCCTGCCCTTGCCCCAGGGCCGGCCCTGTAGATACTGGAGGCGTTGTTGACTCTGTGTGCTTCATTAGATTGAGAAAGTGAAAGTATGTTTGAACAGATACTACCAGGGCGTTTGGTTGGAGAGGGGGAATTATGTGGGAAAAGAATTATAATTCCAGTGTTTGGTTGAGAAAGTATGAAAGTATGTATGTTTTTCACCTTCATTAGATTGAGAAAGTGAAAGTATGTTGTTCAGTATGTTTGGAGTGTTTGGTTGACAGGAATAGAATTACTGGAAATTTCAATTCCAATGTTTGTCAAAAATATCCATTATTGTTGTTAAACATTAATTTTAGGTTAAAAAGGGAATGGGTAATTTTGACTCATCACTATCTTTTTTTTCCAGGAATTAAAATCCCAGGGGGGGACATGGGATTTTAATTCCATGAAAATGGGGGAATTGCAATTCCATGGAATTGCAATTCCCTCCAACCAAACTACAGAATTTAATGGCCTTTGGAATTAGGTGGGAATTAAGTGGGAAAGGAATTTAAAATCCCCCCAACCAAACGCCCTGTACAATGTAATAGAGTTAGTAGCATATATTTTAAGGTAGTAATTATTAATTAGTATTCTAGTTAGGCAAGTATGTTTGAACAGATATTACAATGTAATAGAGTAAGTATGTTTGAACAGATACTACAATGTAATAGAGTTAGTATCATATATTATAAGGTAGTAATTATTAATTAGTATTCTAGTTAGGCAAGTATGTTTGAACAGATATTACAATGTAATAGAGTCAGTAGCATATATTTTAAGGTAGTAATTATGTATGTTTGAACAGATACTACAATGTAATAAAGTCAGTAACATATATTTTAAGGTAGTAATTATTAATTAGTATTCTAGTTAGGCAGTTAAATAGCTAAATAGTAAATACAACAATACGTACGAATTTAATAATCATAAAACCAATATGGAAGTTTCTAATGTGATAATCTCATGAGTTATTACTCTATTATAATTATAATATATATCTATATCTATATTATATTTTTTTTAAAAAAATACGAGCCAACGTGCCAGCCTGGTCCATGGGCCAAAAATTAAATGTCCGTAGTATAAAACGGGCTAGCTATAGTCCACCCATTGTAGCAAATGGATCGGATCGACCCGGTCCAATGGACTGGACTTCGGGCAAACCTTTCCGTTTGACACATCTAAATGGGGGTTAGGACACATCTAGTTTTCAAGAGACTTGTGCTACTTACACATGAAGATCAAGATTTTCAAGCCAAACTCTTTAGTTGAAGAAAAGAATAAACTTTATTACTTCAACCTTTGTATTCTCTACTCGATAGTAGTAGAAAGAGGTGGAGTAGACTGGTGATAGTCGAAAAACCTGGTGGAGTTCAAGACCAACTTTGTGTTTAAGGCTTAAACGTCCTTTGTACTATTGGGATAGTGCAAACCTCCTTGAATTTTAAGAGAAGAGTGGAGTAGGCGTTTTTGCCGAACCACCATAAATAAATAAATAAATAAATAAATAAAAAAAAAAAAAAATATATATATATATATATATATATATATATATATATATATATATATATATATATATTTCTACTTTATTTATTATTTGCATCTTATTCTTATCACGAAGCAAATCTAAATTTTATAAAGGACAAAAATATGTGCAAACTAATTAAAAAGGGGTAAAAACAAATGTCCTCTGTGCAAACTCAACTAAAAGTTACATTGTGAAGAAGTAACCCTTCAGATCTGCTTAACCGAATAGTTACAATTTTCAAAATCGCCCCCCCCCCCCCCCCCCCTCCCCTCTCCTCCCCTCTCTATACTCGGCCTGAATAAATGAAATACATGCATTAAGTTACGAAGGCTTCTTATTCCACAACAACGAAAGTACTTTTTCACTCTTGAACCATTTACCTACCAAGACCAATAGTTGTGTTAGTGGTGATGTGGTGGTGGTGATGGTGGTCATAGTGTTGGTGTTGGTGTTGGTGTTGGTAATAATAATAATAATCCGGAAACTAGTTTGAAATTAAAAGAGATGAGAGAAGAGAGAGACATGAAAATAAAGAAAGCAGAAAATGTCTTCTAACTAAAAATCTAGGAAGACATTTTTCGTCAAATTAAACATTTTTTTTTTCTTTGTTGATTAGAATGAATATTTTTCTTTGACTCTATTTTGTTTGAATACCCAAACACGGGAAAGTTGAGAAAATGACTTCACAGGATTTCCGAACGAACTCTAAATGCAACACAATTGTTATGCTATGGACCAAATTCCACAT